TTGTAAATATCATTGAACCATTGTCAACAAATTAAGTGTCATGACACGTTGTTGGGCATGTTCGACATAATTGAAGTCTAAAAATAAAAATTTGAAATTCATCAAGTAACTAAATTGTTGGGTTTGAGTGTATATTGCATTATTTTTTGGAGTAAATTTTGCTTAGAAAATTTCGTACCGTTTAATTACTTCTAAACTCATTAAATTTAAATGTTGAATAGAATTATCAAACAAGGCCTTAATTAACCTAGGGGGATGGCAAACATCCCCTGTTTAACAGTCTTGTCGACCACTCCTGCTTCTGTTTCCACCGATAGCTACCAATTTGGTTCTCGAATTACCACAAAAGTTATGCCCCACTCCCAAATAGTGTCAGCCTGACTGCCCCTTTAATTATCAACTGTTGCATTGCAATACTTGCTACTAGATCTAATACTGATCTACAACTAAGAACTGGAGAGCGACTGTCTACAGGAAATAAACACAGATATATAAAGAGAAAAGGGGAGTTCACCACCTACTCATCAGGTACAAATGCTCTCAAGGTTCCAGCGGCTTCGCATAAATATAAGCTTTGGGGACAACAGTTAAATACCATTTCCAAGAATTCAATAGGGTGTTGTAGCTACGAGTTGAAATATTTCCACCAGAGCAGAGGTCACCTTTGGATTTACTTCCAAACTTTCACAAGTGCCTGCTTTCATTTAGAGGAGGAACAGAAACTTAACAAAATATAGGAAGTAAACTAGTTTATGGAGACGAAGTGCATGGAGAAGGTAAAAGTTCGATTAAGATGAAAGCTTAGGTGGCGAGTGTAGCAAGGTACTCGAAATCATTACGGGCTTCCTTTTGCCTCTTGTAAGTTTTTGGCAAGTCATTATGAGAATGCCCATAGAACTCCTAAGGTAAAAAAGAAAAAAAAAAAATCTTCCATCTCTACTTCTCTGGTGATCATTATGAGAATATCCTTAGGATTCCAAGCTAAATATCTTCCATCTCTACTGCAATGGTGATTTCGTCCGCTCTCATGTTGACTTGGCCACTTTATCAACAGAGATCTATCACAGTAAAGAAAAAAGAGAGTTGTGATCATCAGACCAACAATGCAATACCTAAAGAAGATGTAAAAGGGTTGAGACCGTCTTTATGGCACTTCTCATACGCATAAGATCTAACACACGTTTGATTGTTTCTTTGCAGGGGCAACTCGTATGTTTTCCGACTATAGGAATCAATTTGTTACTCATCGGACACTGCATAGTGGCAGCATGTGATTAAGCCATGATTTTATTAGTTTGTTAATTTTCACTTATACAATAACACCGACAAATACCCAATAGGTGTTAAAATCCATTTGGTCTCAAGCATGTTTCTTTACCATACAGTCACTAAAATTTGAATTTGGTTTTGACTCTACGTAAATTGCATGATTCTGGAGTTGGATTTAGTGGTTATAACTTAGTACCCTGATCTTATATCTACTCCCATATTGCGTGAACTTTACCATACATATTGTAGTTTCTGCCTGGCATACCGTCAAAATTGGATTTTTTACCACTCTAGCCATCACCACCTCGAATGCCCAACACTAGATTGCTACCTGTATCTGGTTGGTTTGTATTGATGATGTGACTCACAATTAGATTGCAACTTGGTTGAGTATATTTTTTTTTTATTTGCTAATGACAATAAAAATGAAACACTTGCATAAAACTATAGTTTTTATTAGACTAAAACTCAACAACTTGTAAGATTTGAATCCAAGATCTTAACTATCTGATTACGCATTGTATTTTTTTAAGTAATTACATATTACCCTCATGTGTTTCACTTTCGACCACATAAACCCCTCTATGGTTATATGGAGTGTGAAAAGTGGGTGGAAACATCCCTCTGTCACGTCGAGTGGCAAACATGCACACAAAAAGTATTACAACTAAATAAAATAATGAATATATTTGGAAAATTCCCCTATTTTAGCCAGAATTACCCCCAACACGCACTATCATTAGTATAAGAGGAAGCAAGCCCTAAAAAAATCTCTCGTCGTTCTTCCATCTCAACAAATTCCCTTTGTCAACTACATTTTCTAACACATTAATCAAAAGCCCTTGAAGAGAAGAGATGGCTTCCTCAAACACTTGCAATGAAGGCAACAAAGATCTACCGTGCCAATATCAAAGGTGTGAATGTGGCAATAGGGTTTTGCGAAAGATTGTTGATACGAAAAAACTCCTATAGGATTGTTGTATTTTGTTTGTGAAAGCAATCAATGTGGATTCTTTGCATGGTGTCATCCAATTAATAGAGAAAGGGAAAGAATGTAGCAAAGTAGTAGAGGTTATCCCACAAGTAGACAAACAGTCAGTAGATATAGTTCCATAGATAGTCCAATTCTTGAGAGGCAAAAAATAGAAGATGGTTATTATTTGGCACAGATGCATGTTTTGGAAGCAAATATGAATTTGTTAAAGATGTTTATGGTTATCTCTATTGTTATTGCAATGGTTTCATTGGTAATCTCAGTTATGAAGTAGGATTAGGAAGTTGTTGTTGTTTTGGGCTTAATTAGTCGGTTGGCAGTAGAATGTAATTAGATTTAGTTTTTGTAGATGGAAATTATTGTATGTTTTATCCTATTATCAATGCAATTTAAGTGGTTTGGCATATATGCTTCTTCCTGAATCATTACAGAATTGGTCCAAAATTTGGCAATTGCACTTCATAGCCACAAAACAAAAAAGAGCGGTTCTATTAACACTTCTCACAACATTTATAACAGGTAATATAAGAGTTTGAGACCATTCATAGGTCCAACATAGACAATGTGATAGCAGCCAATACAACACTTTCGGTTTAATAATGACTAGCACGCTTCTGAAAAAATACAGAGTACATTGAAACAAAAGACCAGCCAAAAAAAAAGTAGGCAAAATTACTGAAACACTCCTATCGAAACACCGTCCAAGTTCACACTTTTTTGGCCCTCTTGGCATTGTTAACTTGTATTTTTGCCAACACTAATGACTTAGTTGGGATAGGCTTTGGTATCCTTGATGTCATCCTAGGCTCAAAATGTGTTTCACCAAGCGGCCTAGTAGCCTGAAAATTAGTTTGATTCACTTCACTTCCAATATGCTGTACCACCCGAAAAAAAAAAAAATCAAACAAGCATCAGGTTAGTGAACTTTTCTGATTTCCAATATGATTCAAAAATTCACCAAGTCAATACCTAGGAGATGGACCAAGGCACATCCATGTTTGTATGACTACTCTGCTTAGGAAGTGGCTGGGATGAGGGTCTAGCATATGGGGTCTTCCTTTTTCTGTCAAGATTACTAATTATATTAGCAGCATTTGTAGTTGTTATGGTGGTTGAAGCTTCAGTCCTCACATTAATGACTCCTTAAACTCCATGTTTAGTATTGGTAGATTCTTGTTCAACACCATTTAAAGGTATGGCAGACCTTGCTAGGGCCAATATATGCACACAAGTCAGCAAATTTATGCAACACATAACACCAGAAATTAATATCAAAATAAGCACATGCTCAATGGAACTTGCTATTTAGTTGAATTGGTTGCTTGTAACTCCTAGTCACTATGGAGACATTGAAATGCAGTGTAAGAGTTTTCCTAGTCAAAAAGTCGAAATACAGTTGGCCATTCACTACAAAAAATTATTTTTTTCGTGACAAATTTTTCATGACAAGAAACCTTTTCGTTAGGAAAACCATGCTTTTTATGACAACCCGTCAAGTAAATATCCTTCAAAAGGTGCTGCTACTTTAAATGTGTTTTTCTATTTATTTCATTGTCTAAAGTTACTTTCCCCACATCAATTCGTCAGGAAAAGTTTTCATTCTCCCTCCATTTCTTTCCCACCAATTTTTTTCCCCTCTTGGACCGAAAAGGAATTTAGAAGGACATCTTGTCCTTATGACATAGACACCGGGAAATTCAAGAAGCACTTTTCCCAAATCTCTACTTTTGGAACAACAACAACAAAGTACACTTTCTCCAAATCTTCAGCTTGTCTTCATCTCCAACAACAGAGAACAACAACGAACTCCTCTGAACTTGGCTTCATCTCTTTCAACAAGAGAGACAACACGATGGTCTAAGGTGATGTAAAAATCAAATAATCCTTCAATTTTGTCTTGAATCAGCTCCCTTTCTCCGAATCCCCCTTCAATTTTGTCCTTAATTGACTGTGAAATGACGGTCCTACAGATCATCAGTTCAAGTTCGGTGTCAAATATTTTCTCTGCATAAAAATTGACTCATTTGTGATCTAAGTTTTCAGAAATTGTTTTGGAGAACCTCATTTGGCCCCTTAAAGTTTCAAATTTGATTATTTTCATTATTTTGGTTGAGAATGAGGAATTTAGCGCAAATTTGATAGGCTCCCATCTCCCTGATGTTCACAAAGGAACGGTTCTTGGAAAACTTGTTCTTGCGTGTGAAGAGTTGAGAATTCTGCACATGTACATATAAAATTGATTTGCTAGCTCGTTTTTGGCAGAATGGTGCAGCAGTCTGGTGCATCAGCTTTCGGAAAATTCAGGGTCAAGGATTGACTATTCTTGGAGGTGAGTCCTTGACAGGTTCAGTTCCCATTGGGCAGATATGACTTGTAAATTGCAAAATGAAATATTACTATATGAGCAAAATGGGTCCTATATTTTGGATTAACTCCAGAGTAGATCCAAACTTACGGTGCAATGTTCACATCTAGGTGTGCTAGACGCTTGTCTTGTGTCGAACATTTTTCCTGATTTATCCTTGTTATTTGTCTTTCAGTTTTTTGTCATACATGTGATGGGCAACCGGCTTTCAACAATTTTATCTACTACAATTTTCTTTCATTTTTCAATGTCTGAAACCTTGTTAAGGATTCATCTCTGATTGATCATTTAGTATGAGTCTTCAATGTGATGGCAGAGATACATGTTCAGTGTTTCTGGTTTGTCCTCTTGTTTTGTCATGAAAGTGTCTGAATGAAACTGGAATTTGTTTCCTATTTTTCTTCATTATTTGTTTCCTTTCATGCAGACCTTGTTCTGAAAGACAAGATTGTTGTTTATGATTTGGCTGGCCAAAGGATTGGATGGGCTAACTATGACTGTAAGTTCCCATATCAAGAGCATTTTGCAGCCGTTGGCTTGATTTTTACAGTGCCTTCTATTCATCATTATCTGATTGGATTAAAAGGGGAAACTTGGATTAAAAGTGAAATTGTTTTCTCTGATACAGATACACTTGAAATTCAGTTTTTAGTTCAAGATTCGCAGAATTTGGGAGGTTTGGGTTTTAATATGGGAATAGTCACATAGACAGATTGGCACAGGTCTAATTTAATATAGGACGTGGGAGCAATTCACGCAATAATGCGACACAGTCAAGTGTATTTTAGATTTTTTGGCTAAGGGCCCCTACTTATAAATTTGGAGCTGATCTCAAGGATAAATATTTATGGTGAAGTTGGCTAGTTTGATATTATGTCATGGGGAGCATTAAAAATTTGTACCAGACGAAAAATGCATCAGCAACTGGCCTATATTGTTAGGGGCTTTTATGTATTGGTTTGGGTATTTGGAGTCTATGGTGAAAATGGACCATCTGGTTTTAGAGGTTTGGTTGGAATGGGAGCTTTTGGTTCTTTTTGTTAAGAGGACGGCTATACATCCATCGTGTCCAACTAAATCCATGCAAGAAATGTAGGGAGTAACATCCAAAAAAAAAAACAGTTTCACAATCATTGGCTCTTTCTGGTTTTCTGAAGTACTATAATATCCTTGCAAGTTTTATACCATAGGTTTTTTATGCCAGTTTTCAGTTAGCATTAGTAGGCAGGAAAAAGAAGGGAAACGTAAAGAAGTGCAGCACTTGTAAATTCTTTATCTAGTGTGACAACTTGATTATTACTCCTATTGGACAAAAAGTGATAGAATGTGACTAAACCACTACTGTTTGTCTTCCTTGCTATAGTTCCTAATCCATAACTTGACATGTTCCAAAATGCACTAGCCCGCCATCAATTACTGAACCCAAGTAACCTAGCTAGCTAGTTGGAATGGATCTTTGAATGTTCTAAGTTTCAGAAGAAATCTTGATGATTTAATGTGGATCCTTATCCAAAGTCAATCCTGTTCACAATAAAATAGTTTTCAGTCTACCTCAGCAGAGAAATATCTAATTTCGCATTTCTTCATATTCAGCAGAACAGACCTGCATTCTCACTACCTTGATAGAGAAGATAAGGAACAACCAGAGAAAAGATTGCATAATTTGAGGTATGTGGTTATTTGGTAGCTTACCATAAAGAATGAAAAGTGTTTATCATGACTGCTAGTTTCTTGCAAATTATGTTATGGTTTACATCCTTATTTGCGTAAATCAAGTTATGGGTTATGATGTTTAATGTTTTCTATATACTATACAAGAGCATATACAATTAAACAATAGGAGAATAGTACAATCAGGAATGTGTTTTTAGTTTTATTGAGTAGTATACCATTTGGTGTAATCAGTGAATAATCTAATGTGTTTTCAGTTTTATTGAGTAGTATTGCATTTGATGTAATCAGTGAATAATCTAAGTAGCTTGGAATTCATAACTAAGCCATAAAAAGTAGGTAAATTGTGAATAATTCTATGTCTTTTTGCCTCCTTTATCTTTTTATAGCTAGAAATTGTCTTTCCTCCTTTTTGAGTTATTCATCTTAACAATGCCTTGAGTTTAGTAAGTTAAGACTTTTCTTATTCTAGGTATCGGAAATGGATAAGAGCTGGATAAATGATCCAAATATTTTGTCAAGTCATTATAAGTTTGGTCTTAAGGATTTTATTGAATTTGCTAAGACCAATGGTATGGGATTGGATGGAAAATTATTTTGTCCCTGTAGGAGATGTAGGAATTCAAAGAGAAAAAGCATTTCTCAAGTTGAATCAGATTTATCGGAAAAAGGCTTTTGTATGTATTATAAAAATTGGGTCTTCCATGGGGAACCATTTTCTGCACACTCTTATATGTCAAGTGGAAAGAACAATAACCTTGATGAGAATGGTGTTGGAGGTGAGACAGATTTCATCAATGAAACAGTATATAATGACTTTGATATGAATGAAAATGGTGAATCTGATGAGTTACCTGATTTATTGGATGAGATGAGAAATGCACATGAATCAGGGACATCGAGTGAATGGGATTCAAAAAATTTTGACAAATTGTTAAATGATGCACAAAGAGAACTTTACCCGGGATGCAAAAAATACTCCCTGCTGCGTTTCATTGTTTCCTTTCTCCATATCAAAGTGATGAACCATATGACTAACAAGGCATTTGACATGATGCTAGAATTTTTAAAAGATGTGTTACCAGAAGGATAAATACTTCCATCTAGTTTTTATGGGGCCATGAAAATTCTATCTGGTATTGGTTTGGGGTATCAAAAAATTGATGTCTGCAAATTTGATTGTGCATTGTTTTGGAAAGAAAATGAAAAGATGGACAAGTGTCCTATTTGTAAAGAATCACGATGGAAAGTCAATAATGGCAAGAAAAAAAAGTTCCACAGAAGGTGATGTGGTACTTTCCATTAAAAGCTAGGTTGCAAAGACTTTTTATGTCTTCTAAAACTGCTGAAGACATGAGATGGCATGAGGAGAAACGGGTTAAAGAGGAAGGTATCATGAGACATCCGGCTGATTCTATTGCTTGGAAGGATTTTGATAAGCAATATCCTGATTTTGCTAAAGATTCTCGAAATGTAAGACTTGGATTGGCCACGGACGGATTCAATCCATTTGGTAACATGAGCAACTCATATAGCATGTGGCCAGTTATTCTTGTACCTTACAATTTGCCTGCATATAAGTTTATGAGAAAGGAATTTCTTATACTATCACTTCTTATTCCTGGTCCACGTGCCCCTGGAAAGGAGTTAGATGTGTTCTTAAGGCCAGCAATAGATGATTTGAAAGATTTATTTCATGGAATCAGCACTTATGATGCATATAGTGGACAAAACTTTCAAATGCGTGCAGCAGTTTTATGGACTATATCAGATTTCCCTGCATATGGCTATTTGTCTGGATGGAGCACCAGTGGGTATAAAGCATGTCCATGTTGTCTTGATGATACTGCTTCACAAAGACTAAGAGGCAAAATATGTTTCATGGGACATCGTCGCTTTTTGAACCATGACCACTGTTGGCGAAAGCAAAAAGCTCATTTTGATGGAACTATTGAAACACGCTCCAGGCCAAAGGAATTTTCTGGAGAACAGGTTTTAAGACATTTAAATTCCTTGGCTGGTGTCTTTGGTGAGTTTGGTAAGAACCCAGTTACTCGGAAAAAAGGAGTTGATAAAATTCAGGGTAATTGGAGGAAAAAAAGTATATTTTTTGAGTTACCATATTGGGAAAAACTCTCCATGAGACATTGTCTGGATGTGATGCATATCCTTAAAAATACATATGAAAGTTTAGTAGCAACATTGTTGAACATTCCTGATAAGACAAAAGATACTAATAAAGCTCGTGATGATCTACTTGACATGGGAATAAGGCACGAACTACACTTACATGATGATGGTACAAGGAAAACAAAGCCTCCAGCCTTGTATGTGATGTCTTCAAGTGAGAGAAAAGGATTTTGTGATTTTTTGAGTTCAATTAAGTTTCCTGATGGGTATGCTGCCAACATTTCCAAGTGTGTTAAAGATGGTAAACTGATGGAACTTAAAACACATGACTACCATGTCCTCTTGCAACGACTTATTCCAGCCGGCATTCGTGGGTATTTGTGCAAAGAAGTCAATGAGGCAATTTTTGAGTTAAGTGAGTTTTTCGAGATTTGTGTTCTAAAACCCTTGAGATGGATGACTTGGAAAGGTTGGAGAAAAATGCTCCATTAATATTATGTAAGTTGGAAAAAATCTTTCCTCCTGCCTTCTTTGACATTATGATCCATTTGATTGTTCACTTGCCAAAGGAAGCAAAACTTGGTGGGCCAGTACATCCTAGGTGGATGTTTCTATTTGAAAGGTACTTCTTCCTTATTTGTTTGACTACAAATTTTGTTATTTTACTTAACATTCTGTTTTGGATAGAAAATTAACTCATGCTTTTGAAAAGGTATCTTGGATCCCTTAAAAAGTATGTCCGTAATCGTGCTCGTCCTGAAGGCTCGATTGCAGAAGGATATATTGCAAATGAGTGCCTAACATTCATGTCCAAATATCTCCATGGCATTGAAACAAAATTCACCCGCAAGAGACGAAACTATGACTATAATCAGGATAAGGCAGAGGAGCTGGTGGTTTTCTCACTAAGTGTTCGCCCATTTGGACTTGTTACACCTCCTACTAAATTATCTCAAGTTGAACTAGATGTGGCTCATAAATTTATATTGAATAACTGTGATGAAATAGAAGAGTACAGAATGTAAGTGCAATATGTATTTCAATTTTATATTTTCGATATTACTTCTTGTGGTTTATTTTACTTTATATTGGTAATACAATCTGAATTTCAGTAAGCATAAAGAGATGCTGCAAAGGATTCATCCTGAAAATGTTGATAGCAGACATGAAGATCAATTCACAGAGTGGTTCAAAGATCATGTAAGTTATACATATTATAAAAATAAGTTTATTAGTTATTGAAAACTGACTAATAGAGACTCGTCTTCTATTTTATAGATAAATCAGTTACACATTGATAAATCATTGGATGTTTCTGAAGAGCTGTGGGCATTAGCAAATGGTCCTATACCTTTCATGACAAAGCATTACTCAGGATGCATTGTAAATGAAGTTCGTTTCCACACAAGATTACACCGTTGTCTTTTATAATGACATTTAGTGTGTTAATATTTATTTTGCTGACTTGACCAATTCTAAAAATGATCTATTTCTTAATGGTAATTTATAGGGATGGTTTGACTTCAAAGATTGGGAAACTGATCCTAATGTGGAAATGTATGTGGATGACATGCTTCAGAATAGCTATAGGCAGTGGAGGAATACTATGCACATAGATTATAAGATGTTGAAGGCAGCTGGAAAAGATCCACTTACCTCATGTCCTTATGACTGGATTGAGCAAGATGAGTGGAAAAGTATGTGTGATTGGTTCGAAGATCCTATATTCAAGGTGATTGGTTCTAGTTTTGTTTACTTGCATGATCTTAATTCTTTTGTTGCCTTTTATGTTTTGTCTAACTATCTTTTTGGTATTTAATAGAAAAAATCAGAAGCCAATACAAAGAACCGTGCCATGTTACCCTATCCGCACACTGGCGGTTCAAAATCAAATCATGTTCGAGCACAAGAGATGGTATATTACTGATTTTTTATTTCCATTTTGGCTTATATTTATACTAGGAAGAAAACTAGAGCTAACTCGTGATCTTTTATGCTATAAAATAGGTTCCACCAAGTGCAATTGATGCCTGGACTGCTGCTCACATAAAAAAGGATGGCCAATTTGTGAATAATACTGCAAAATCTCTCGATGTAATTTTCACTATAGTCGGCTGATTCTAGTAACTTTGTTTTTTATTAGTAACATGACATTTACATATATATTATACATTTAATGACTCTTTGAGTTATGTGAATCTAATATGTACAGGATGAGTTAAAAGAAGAGAGAAGGCAATGCATCGAGAATGGAGAAATTGTCAATGAAGTTAAAATTATGGAAAATGTCCTAGGAAAGAGGGCTGGTCGTGCCAAAGGGTTGGGTATGGGGGTCATACCACCCCAATCTTCTCGCAAACCCGAATCTTCAGCTAATAGAGCACTACTTGAAGAACTAAAACAGTGCAAGGAGAAGATTCAATGCTATGAGGAGCGAATTCAAGCACAAGATACCCAAATCCAAAATCTTGTACAAAGCCAGCAAGGGATACAATAAATGCTGCAAGAATTCCTCGTTTGGAAACAGAAGCAGTGTGGAGGTTCTTCCTAGTAATGGTGAGTTTGTAGATCTTTATTCGAAACAAATGCATTTATGTGCAGTTACTTACTATTGTGGAACAACTTGGTTACTTCAGCATAGTAATTATTCTTGTATTGCTTGTCCTCATGATTAGGTGGTCCCTAAGCAATTTGTAGTGATCATCCATGCATCATAACAAAAATACATATTTTCCATGCCATTCTATTGTTTCTCTGATTTCAGATTTTTCTTGGTTTTATTGTACAGGTTTGGGATGAACGTTTGGGACTGCTTTTGGCTTTTGGACTGCTTTTAGCTCATACTGAAGAATTCCTCTATTTTGATATCATCCATGTCTAGTATTTTGTTGACCATGGAATTGAAGTCCATCTTTTGATTTTAGCACATGTTAGGTATATAGCAGTTATCTAGGGAGAAATAGCAATATTTATATTGGTTTCAAATCATGGAATGTAATGATATGTCAATGTTTGACATGGTTAACTTTTGTGGTTTGACATATTATGGTTGCCTACTAATGAAATTTGTAAAGTTTTGGTTGATATTTTGCTTGCATACTTTTATATTTTGATTGGGTGGAGTGTTTTAGTAGATGATATTATTACTTTGTTGTCACTAAAATTGCTAGGCTTAAAAATGCTACATGGTGAAATTAGAAACTAATATATTATAGTGATGCAGCTGTCGTCAGGAAAAATGATATTGAATTGTCATTAAAGTACGTCCAGCAAGTTTCAATGCATGACTTTTCTTGACAATCGAAAATTTAGTGACAAAGTTCAGGGTCTTTCCTGACAAAGGTTCGTCAAGAATATGAGGACTTTTCCTGACGACCGAATCGTCACGATTACCTTTCTTGATGACACGTCACAGAAAATGGAACTTTTCCTGACGAGAATTCCACTAGTTGTCAGGAAAACCTTTTGCCGACGGCGTATAGGTGTAGTTACAAATATAGTTGATTTACTACGAGAGTAGAATTCACATAGATTAGGAAATTATGCTATAACTAGTCAAGATAATAATTTCAATTAACCAATAATTTCACTTGCAAGAGTAGTGAGGATTTCCATAGTCCTAGGAGCTTTCTTTTGTTATTTTTATTTCTTTTATCTCATATCTATAGTGTAAATTTAATTTCTTACACTTGTGATAGTTTAAATAATAAAGGAATTTAAAAATCATAGGTAATTGACAATCTTCCTTGTGGGATCGACATTTAATATCTCCTATACTCGATAAACAATCTGTATACTTGTAGAAAATAGGGTGTTTAGCTTTTATTAAATTTTGGTGCATGGTAGAAACTCGTCAAATTTTTTGTGCCATTGTCGAAGAAGATTTGATTAAATATCGGTGCTAATAATGACTTTATTGATTTAGACATTTTTACTTGTTTTTCTTATTTTTGTTGTTTCTAGTGTCCTGTTTGTTATGTTTAGTGTCTTGGTCAGTCTTTTGTTTTGTGATTAATGTTTTGTTTTTAATTTGTATCTTTTAAACTATTCCTTTTGACTAATCTTGCTTTTGTGAATGTTTGAAAGCATTTTTAGATCTTAAAGAGGATAGTAAACAAAAGAGAATAAAAATTTGAGAGAAGAAAGTTCGGCAATGGACTATAATTTTTAAAACTACAACTATGAAGGTAACCAATAGATTTCCAAAATTATATATTTTGAAGATAGTTTCAGGTGTTTAAAGGTTAAATTTGGTTATATAACATTAAAAGTTCAATTGGACATCATTACAAATATGCTTGAATAAAAGAGTAATGTTAATGCTTTCAATTCTTATCATTCAATATATGACTTGTGTGGAAGTTATCATGCTACTCATACATGTAGGCAAGTATAAAATATGCGTTATTATGATGAATTGGGATATTGCAATCCTTGTTTTGATCAAAATGGTCCTAATTGGGATAATTCTTATATTTATGATTGGGATACTATGTGTGCATATAATGATTCTCCATGTTTTATGATTATCAACATAAATATGTCCAATATGAATCTAAATCATCTTGAAAATTAGTTATAGAAAGTTAGTTAATGCAACTTCCGACTGTTTTGATAGGGTTGAGAAAATGTTAGATGAATTAACTTCTCACTTTGATAGAATACAAGATCATATACTATATGAAATTATTTCTTCTAATGATATGCAAAATGACCCTAGCATAAATGGTGGAGATATTATATATAAAAATGAATTGCATTTTGATGAAAATGATGAATCTAATGTGTGTTTCAATGAGAAAATGTCCATTTCACAAGATAATATTCTTGAAACTAATGATAAATATTGTTAGAAAATTGGTTTAATTTCTTTTAGATAGATTTCTTATTTTGTGTGGAAGTAACTAGTTTTCTAATTGGTTTTAGTTACTTGAAATAGTAGTCAAGAAATTTTCTATTTTATTTAAAATTAGAAGTTATTTCCTATTCTGTACAACTCTAGAAATTAGAATTGGTTTTATATTGTTATTTAATTTTTTTTTTGGACAAATAATGTTCTCTATAAATAGGTGGATTGGCATACTACAAAAAGACACACAAGAACACACAAAAGGCGACATATAACCTTGTACATGGGTGGTGAGAGAGGGTTCTTGAGAGATAAGAAATAGTATATAAGAGTTGGGTTTATGTTCAAGTTGTATTCTTGTATAGGATTTTTCTCTAATAATAAAGAACGGGCTTCTCTCCGTGGATGTAGGTTCAATGGTAGAGGCAAACCACATTAAATATTGTATATCCTTTATTTTTCATACTTGTAGGTTGTTTGCTATTAAATTGTTGTGTACTTGATATCTTAATAGTTATTTATTTCATATTTGGATCCTAACAAATGGTATCAGATCTTAGTTGCGAGATTGGGTGCTCACAAGCACTTGGATCCCAATAAACTGAATAGTTTGATCAAAAGTTTGGTTGCTCAAGGTTAGATCCTAGTTAACTATTGAGATCAAGTGGGTTGATAGTTGTTATCAATTGAATAATTTAATGAGTGGTATCCTTGTTTCAATGACTTGGCAAAATGCATTGAAGGTGAAGGATGGAAAGGCGAAAAGCACGGAGACACTTGATGGTAAATCTAGACAGGTAATTTAAAAGTCAAGAAAAAAGTGGAGTCCAATGTTGATTTTGGACGTGAATCGATGGAGATTTTCTTACACCTCCAATAATTGATATTTCATCCCGATGGCTTTTAGATTTCGATTATATTTTTGGGTGGTGTGGCACATGTTCCAAAGAAGCAAAAAGATCTAATTTTCATACGCCAGAAGACTCTAACAGTTATGAGTTTTTTGTTTTAGGTGGAGTGTTGGAAATCACACGTGGTGAGATGGTTCTGATGATGGGAAGAAGTATGATGATTTTACCACTTGGTTGCCTCAATGGTTAGGGTTAAAACCATAGTTACTAAACCCGACCCGGAGAAGAACCCGGTGCAAGAAGTGAGTCAACAGGTTACTGGTTCACTCAGTGGGTGAGTGGTCCAACCGGTGGGTCACTAAATATACTTAAATATTATATTTCATAATTTTCAATATGGTTGAAACTATAATAAACTATATCATAGTAAATACTCAGTTAGTCCAATTTATTATAAAATCATTAATTCTTATAAGAATTAACAAAATCTAAATTTAATTAGTAATCAACCAAATATCTAAGTGTAATTATCTAGTTTATTTATGAATTTTAAGTGCAAAAAGTTATTAAGAATAATGTTTGTCTTTAAAATGAATTGTGTAATATGCTATTTTTTAAATCCCTTCATAACTTATAGAATTTGGGGAATAATAAAATTTTATTATAAGATTCCAATTGTTTGATGAAATAAAATAAGAACAAAGGTCTAATATATAGCATATGAGGGCTAAATAAGTATAAAAGGAGTTGTTGGTCCAGAGGTGAGCGCGCTTTGTTCTGCTGCTTGGGGTCCGAATTTTGATTCTTCCTAGCAACATTTTCTAAAAATTTTAACACAACAACCGGTTCCTTATAAAATCGTCCGGTTCAACCGATTGAACCGCCGGTTGGTTGACAAGTCAACGAGTTTCTTGCATAAACGATCCAATTACCAACCCAGCCCGATTTCATAGCCAGTTTATCGGGTTGATCGGTTGAACCGCAGGCCCGGGCCGGGTTTAATAACTATGGTTAGAACTCACAAAAGAAGATCTCCAATTGCAAGTGGTGGTGAGAAGAAATCCTGCAAAGCGAGATGGTGAATTGAGACACCTTTTTATGAATCAACTGGAGATTGGATTCGGGATAACTGCACTTGTTTATTTGCTAATTGAATCAAGGTGTCAGAACTATGTTGATTCGGGTGTGTAGTTCGGTACCATATTATTTGGTAGTTAAAGGCAAATTGTTACTAAAAGAAATTTTCGTGATGATGGAGATTTGTTAGAAAATTGGCTTGATTTCTTTTAGATAGATTTCTTATTTTGTGTGGAAATAACTAGTTTTCTAATTGATTTTAGTTACTTAAAGTAATAGCCAAGAAATTTTCTATTTTATTTAGAATTAAAAGTTATTTTCTATATAGTACAAGTTTAGGAATTAGAATTGGTTTCCTGTTATTATTTGATTTTTTGGGTAAATAATATTCTCTATAAATAGTTGGATTGGCATTATACAAAAAGACATACAAGAGCACATAAGAGACGATATGTAGCCTTATACATGGATGGTGAGAGAAGGTTCTTGGAGATGAGAGATGGTATATAAGGATTAGATTTTGGTTCAAATTGCATTCTTGTATAGGATTTTCCTCTCATAATAAAGAACGGGTTTCTTTCTGTGGACGTAGATTTAATGGTGAAGTCGAACCATGTTAAATATTGTGTGTTGTTTATTTTTCATACTTGTAGTTTATTTGCCATTAAATTATTGTGTACTTGATATCTCAATAGTTGTTTACTCCATACTTGAATCCTAACAAATCTCAAGAGATCAACATTAATGATTCATATTTTACCCCACTTGAGGAGTGTTTTAAAGGTGTAAGTTCTAAAGATGTTATCTTCTAAGAAGGTCATGCGACATTTCTTTTGTGACTACTTAAATGATGCACATTTAAGGTAATATCTATAAATCACTTAAGATTGGTAAATCACTTCCATCTCTCTTATTATTAGAATAGGAAAAAAAGTCCCAGTGGCCCTCTAACTATTAGTCGGGTGAACTTTTGACCTTGCAACAATTAAGAGTAAATCTTTGGCTCTCAATCTATCAAAAGTGCAAAATATTGGATCTTCTGTCAAGTTCAGCCGTTAATATTGACGGAAATTGACACCACATGAAACACATGCTGAAATATGAAGGGCATTTTAATCTGTCCAGCAATTTTCTATTTAGTAAAAAGGGATTTCTTCCTGAACAAAGAGCTGTAGGAAGAAAAACTCCATGGCAGCTGAAGAGCGTCTACTCAAGTTTTTTGTTCCTTGTGGTTGCAGATAATTGATTCTTTTTCTTTTTCTTCTTTGTTTTCTCGTCCAAATTAATAGTTTAATGTTTCTGAAGAATC